GACATTTTAAATACTGACATAGTGGAAATCTCGACAACCATAATCCCGATAGTGTTAAAATACCGACGGATTATGGTTGTCGGAATTTCCAATAATTGTCGGAAATTCGATTGTGAGTTATCAGAAACTTGTTGACTTTCACAACGCATTTCCATCCTCCAGTTACGAAATGCAATCAAGACCAACTATCTTTAATTGCAACGACGAAAAGACTTCGCATCTGGCTAGGATGAGTCTACAAGATCCATGACCCATATTAAGATTGATCTTGACTTTAATTAAAACAGCCACAACCACACACACCACACACGTACAGAGGAGCAGAGCGAAAGAGTAGATCCCAATGTAAACCGGCTATTTCTGATCGCCGAGCCGCCGATTTCCACTTCTTCCTTTCGCGTCCAGATCCGGACCGTAGTATTTGGGTTATCCGTGTGTTTACGTAATCGAATGTCCTTTTTTGTATCTGTTTGTTTCGGTTTTGCCTAGTACATTATTTTTTGTTGAGGTCTTTAAATCCGAAGCGGCTTCAACATTTGAAGTGGCGCTCGTAAAGTTTTCTAATTCCATATTAAATTCCTCTACATTATCTGTAATTAAAAATCTACGCAATGCCATAATAAAATTCGTTGAGTCCATCAGCGTGCAACGCCAATCATTGAGCAATTAACTTTTTTTTTTACTTCATCGAATCATTGTGTAATTATGATGTATGTTTACGTTAGCTTATTACTATTAATTATGTTTATGCGCTCATTCAACTTCGTCCATTAACAACTTCAATTAAACATTTATTATCTTACTATGTTCACAAGCAACAATTTTCAAACTACCTTCAATAAAAGTCATTTTTTTCAGTTAATACTTAAAGATTATTTAGAACGTAAATTTTATTTATATTTCTTCAGTTAAAAATGAATTAAGTTGATTGAAAGAGAGCAGAAAATTAATAAACATCTGTGATTGGGATTTTTTTTATAAATTTTCTCATAAACTCGGTTTGCTTTGGTCAAATAAACATGGAAATAAATACGCGTTGGCTCGTTTTTATTCCCTCAAGTGCATAAAATCGCTGCTGTTTACGTGGCAGCAGCAGACACGTGGGTCGCCAATCTTGAAATCCGAAAAAGTTAAAAATACCGAACACCGTGCATCAATAATGGTTTTTGGGGCCGTTTGCAAATTGCGTGAGAGAAACTTTTACGCAGAAAAACACACAAGAAAAAAGGTTATACAACTACCGCAAAAAAATCTCGAGTATAATACGCACTATTTGTATAAAAATTAGCAATATTAAATACGTGCAGGTGTTACAGTGATAAGAATGTTAATTCGAGTATAATACGCACAATTTGTATACATTTTTACATGAAGGTGCGTATTATATTTGCGCAAAAATTTAAAGATATTTTCAATATTAAATATGCACAGCTGTGACACTAATTAAGAATGATAATTCAAGTATAATACGTACAATTTGTATATATTTTTACTTGAAGGTGTTACAGCGATTGAAAGTGATAATTCGAGTATAATACGCACAAGTTGTACACATTTTTACATGAAGATGCAAACAAATGTAACGTCAATTTTGATATTAAATAGTAACATTGATTAAAAGTAATAATTCGAATATAATACGCACACTGTGTATACATTTTTGTACGCAAAATAGTGTCATTTTAAATATTAAAGACGTGCATCTGTGACACTAATTAAGCATGGTAATTCGAGTATAATACGCACAAATTGTTCACTTCTTTACATGAAGGAGCGTATTATATTTACATACAAATTTAAAGACATTTTCAACATTAAATACGTATAGCTGTGACAGCGATTAAAAGTGATAATTCGAGTATAATACGCTCAAGTTGTACAAATTTTTACATGAAGATGCATACAAATTTAACGTCAATTTTGATATTAAATAGTAACATTCATTAAATAATTCGAATATAATACGCACACTGTGTATACATTTTTGTACGCAAAATAGTAATAGAAGTGCGTATTATACTTGAGTACAATGAGACGTCATTTTAAATATTAAAGACATACATCTGTGACACTAATTAAGCATGGTAATTCGAGTATAATACGCACAAATTGTTCACATTTTTCATGAAGGTGTGTATTATATTTGCGTACAAATTTAAAAACAGTTTTAGCATTAAATACGTACAGCAATGACATCGATTAAGAATGATAATTCGAGTATAATACGCACAATATGAATAAATTTTTAGTTGGAGTTACGTACAAATTTGACGTCAATTTTACTATTAAATAGTAACATTGATTAAAACTAATAATTCGAATATAATACGCACATTGTGTATACATTTTTCTATCCAAATAGTAACGGAGGTGCGTATTATACTTGAGTACAATAAGACGTCATTTTCAATATTAAATACGAATAACTGTGACACTAATTAAGCATGATAATTCGAGTATAATACGCACAAATTCTTCACATTTTTACATGAAGGTGCGTATTATATTTGCGAACAAATTTAAAGAAATTTTAAATAATATATACGTACAGCTGTGACATTGATTAAAAGTAATAATTCGAATATAATACGCATAGTGTGTATACATTTTTGTACGAAAAAAAGTAACAGAGAGTATTATACTTGAGTACAATAAGACGTCATTTTCAATATTAAATACATTTGTCATACTAATTAAGAAAGATAATTCGTGTATACTACGCACACAATGTTCACATTTTTACATGAAGGTGTGTATTATAATTTGTGTAAAAATTTAAAGATATTTTCAATATTCAATAAATACATATGTGACTTCAATTAAGAGTGATAATTCGAATATAATACGCATGTCATTTTCAATATTAAACAAGCAAATCTGTGGCACTGATTAAGAATGATAACTCAAGTATAATACGAACATTTTTTTACACATTTTAGTAATTAAAATAGGAATGAAGGTGCGTATTATAATTTGTGTAAAAATTTAAAGATATTTTCAATATTCAATAAATACAGAAGAGACATCAATTAAAAGTATAATTCGAGTATAATACGCACAAATTATACACATTTAAAGATACAAGTTTAAAGATAGTTTCAATATTCTATTGATACAGTTGTGACAACAATTAAGAGTGATAATTCGAATATAATACGCCCGTCATTTTCAATATTAAACAAGCAAATCTGAGACACTGATTAAGAATGATAACTCTTGTATAATACAATGTGCGTATACACATTTTAGTACTTACAATAGGAATGAAGGTGCGTATTATACTTTCTTATTATATTCGAGATTATACGGTTTAACTGAAAACTGGTAGCTAGAATACAGATAACCGAAAGGTCTAAAGGTTTTCCTTAAACCGAGAATGGGTCCCATTCATGGATATCCCTATCAACCGAATGGACGGAATGGGTTATCTCAGTTTATTGAAGAAATACAACCGCTCGTTCAGCGTTATCGTTTATTGGTGGAACGAGAAGCATATTATCATGCACGGAATTTAATAATAACGATTCTCTCTCTTCATCACATCATTCATTTATTTTTTTTATGCTTTTCGTTTCTTCTCGAGAATTTCAGGTCGGTGGCAAGAAGTGGTCGCGTTTTACTTACGCGAAACCCGTTTCCGTAATGAGTAATTAAATTAATTAATACATAATTATCGGGGAAACGACGAACGCTTATATCAAAGAAAAAAAAGAAAAATATGTGCGCTTTATTAATGGGGAGGAGATCAAAAGGCCGGAGCCGGCGGTTTTATCGAAAATGGAAATGGGAACGTTGCAGATAACGATTGGATCATCTTTTTTCAGGAAAAGCGCATCTATTTATCTACTCGAATCGAACAACAGGAAGATGGACATAAAATGAATCAGTTCTATTTATAGTTTACATAAGATTTGATTGATCTGAGAATAGTTTTAGTTCTTCATTTGATAAAACAAGTGAGAGTAATATATTTCTCTTCAGAAATTACATGTGTTCGCAACATTCGTGCAATTCCTTTCAGTTTTCTTTTTATATTTGTATAAATTTTCTTCTTTTGCTTTTTGACATTTTTAATCTGCTGAGCATACGTCGATTTTTGTTTTTGTTTTCAGGACACACCCAGAGAGGAGAACACGTTCGTGGGATCAAGAGAGAAATCTCATAACATATAATATCAAAGGTTGCGATGGAAATTGGGACAAAAAATGTGCGTTGCGAGGCAATATCGAATATCCTTCATTTATGCATCTTATCGCTGCACGAAGTCAAAGAATGGTGGCACGACGACAAAGAAAAAAGAAGTTGCTGTTAATAATAATAACGAAGCTGTTGATGATGATGATGGTGGTCCATTAAAGCTATTTATTCTTAGCCAGAGGTAAAGAAGTGTTATCTGCAGAAATAATTATTTACTTAGAAAGTAATTTTTTGCAAACGTTTTCCGCTCGACCTTAACACGAATGCGCAAAGAAATGCAATTTATGAACTAGCAAAATATTATCCAATTACGTTTCGAATATCATCTTTTTTTTGTTGTTGTTTTTAATTATGAGCGGCTTTCGAAATCCTTTAGTTTACGAGCAATTAAAGATTGCATATCGAAATCGATTTCATCCTTCTATATGTATTTTTTTTTTGTCTTCAGAAATTCAAGAATTTACGATTGCATAAACAGGTTTATCGCTAGGCTTTCTCCAAGATGCAAGAACTGATCATGATCATGATGATGATAATAACTTTATTTGCTTCGAGTCATCATCATCATCATCGATGATTTACTTTTGGAAAGTGGACCAGCAAACGACAAAGTCGATGTTTCCATGATTTATGCCTTCTTCTGCTCCGCCGTAACGACGACTTAATTTTAGTTTTCAGTCAGCTTCGCGCGCCAAGACTGGAGGAGGCGTGTGAAAATGCGTTTGATAGAACAAAACGGGTGCGAGGAGGAGACGCGTAAAACTTGTGAGAGACGGAGAAAGGAATTGTCTTTTGACACTCACCTAAATGTCCACCATATGTTGAAGCACATGGTATTCAGCCAGAAAAATGCGGACAAGAACAGGAAGTGCATCGACACGGCTGTAAAATGAAAAATGCAATTAATAATACAACAAAACATAAATAAATACATAAGGAAGAGACGATAATAATAAAATAAGAAGGAGTTGAAACAATTACTTGTGGAAATCGGTATTTTTGGTGCCGGGGTTTATTTTGAAAGCGCCAAGGAAAATATAAATATTTCAGTTGCGTTCGGTGGAGAGACAGTTAATTCGTCTTTTGACACTTTCCCCTTTCGGCTTTCCTAAATAAACTTCCTCCTTTTTGAACGAGGAGGAAGACGAGCAGACGTAATTACGCCCTGCATGAACTTCACATTAATCACGCGCACATATCTAATTGCTTCGAAGATAAATGCGGTGGAACACACAGGAGACGTATCAACTTTCAAGTTTAAGTTAAGTTTGACCTAAGTTCATTTTTTTTTAAATTTCTAATTAATTTTAAATCAAAAGTAGTGATAGATTGTTCGACTTTCAAGTTTCTGTTCGACAAACTTAATACTTAATTCTTCTCCAATTTCAAGTTGTTTCAAAACCAAAGCATTCGTTGTTAATTAGTATACTTTTATATCATGATTATATTCAAATTTATATAAAGTAAATGTGAATAAAATGATCGTTTTAAGTGTAATGATTTGTTTGACTTTCAAGTATTTGTTCGAAACTTTAATTTACATGAAATATATGCGAATTTAACATTATATAATCTTCATTTTAAGTGTGATAGTTTGATCAACTTTTAAGTTTTTGTTCGAGATTAAAAACTTGATTTTTCTCAAATTTAAAGTTGTTTCAAAACCAAAGCATTCGTTGTTAATTAATGTACTAATTTATACCATGATTGTATTCAAATGTATATAAAATAATTGTGAATTTAACATCATTATATAATCTTCATTTTAAGCAGTGATATTTTGTTCGACTTTCAAGTTTTTGTTCGAGACTCAAAACTTAATTCCCAATTTCAAGTTGTTTGAAAACCAAAGCATTCATTGTTAATTAGTGTACTTTTTTATCATGATTATATTCGATTTTTTATAAAATAATTGTGAATTTAGCATCATTATATAATCTTCGTTTTGAGTGTGATAATTTGATCGACTTTTAAGTTTTTGTTCGAGATTAAAAACTTGATTTTTGTCAAATTTCAAGTTGTTTGAAAACCAAAGCATTCGTTGTTAATTAGTGTACTTTTTATATTATGATTATATTCGATTTTATATAAAATAATTGTGAATTTAACATCATTATAAAGGGTGTCCCAAAATTAACGCAAGATTTGAATTTGCCGCCATTTTTGCACTAAATTTTCAAATTGTTTTTTTTGGGTTGCCAACACTTTACTGCACTAATGGCGGTAAATTCAAATCTTGCGTTAATTTTGGGACACCCTTTATAATCTTCGTTTTGAGTATGATAGTTTGTTTGTCTTTCAAGTTTTTATTTGTGACTCAATACTTGATTTTTCTCTAATTTTAAGTTGTTTGAACACCAAAAAATTCTAAGTTAATTAATTTTAACATCATTATATAATCATCGTTTTAATCTGTTAAATTTTATCTGAAGACCTGCAGAACATAAGTAATCCAAAAAAAAACTATATCTCTTAAAACCAATTAATTGAAAAATTAGCATTTTACCTAATGAAAGTATTTTTCTTCATTATTTAACGGTGTCAAGGCCGGACACTGTCCGCATTTAATCTCCTCATTTTTTTTTGTTGTCCTCTTCTCACTTTACAGCACAAATGGCGGCAAATTCAAATCTTGTGTTAATTTTGGGACACTTATAATCTTCGTTTTGCGTGTGATTTGTTTGTCTTTCAAGTTTTTGTTTGTGACTCAAAACTTGATTATTCTCTAAATTTAAGTTGTTTGAACACCAAAACATTCTAAGTTAATTAATTTTAACATCATTATATAATCATCGTTTTAATCTGAAGACCTGCAGATCATAAGTAATCCAAAAAACTATATCTCTTAAAACGAATTAACTGAAAAATTAGCATTTTATCTAATTAAATTTAACGTTATTTTTATGCAGATGCAACTAATAATTAAAGTGTTTTTAAGAGTGTGCAGAATTCGATTTTAGGTGATCCAAACTATTAAAAGTAATATAAAATGTCTACATTTAAATAATAGGAATTTGTTTAATTAACATATTTTTTCATTATATAATCTTTATTTCATCTCATATCTTAAAATTAACGTGTCTTTGAGCGTGTAGTCTGTATCGAAGTTTTTTTTTCATTATATAATCTCAATTATCTTATTTCTATTGAACCATAACTGAAAACTAATGTGCCTTTGAGAGACTGCAAACTGCGTTTTATAAGTGATCTTAGAAACGATCTCTATTCCAGCGAAAATAAGATTGCTTCGCAAATGCAATTCGCGAAATTGCATGCGAACAAACATGTAATTGGATCGGGGGAGGAAATTCCGGTTATTACGAATCGGCGAAAGCGAGCAACGAGAGTTGGCGCGATTATTTTTCACTCGCGCCGTGCAGTGTAGTGTGTGAGTGTAGAGTTTGTAAATTGCTAGAGAACGCACACGTGCGGAGTCTGGTTTCTGTATCTGCACATTTTATGGCCATCCAGAGTGGAATTAATTAAATCGAAAACGAAATCGAGTTGTAAATAAAACTGCGGGTGGGAGAAACAAAACGAAAACCCGAACGAACCAAACAAAAAACAAAAATAAAGATGTAAAATACGAATGGGAAAGAATGCGTA